AACCCGGTTGGTGGGACTTCTACCTGTCGTGTCCTGGCGTCATTACAGTATTAAAGTTAAAATGTCTTTAAAACCCACAGCTGAATTTACACAAACTTGGTGAGAAACATGCTTTAAATGTGTGGAATTAAAGGAAATCTACGTGAAATGCTGCTTTTTTGTTCAATAGTGAACACTTTTTACGCGCGCACACACATCTACACACATCGTGTCCACCTCACACTACGGATGCTTCTGACGCCCTTGTCAACCGGTCTACATGTTCTTTGTGGACTTGGAGAAGGCGTTCGACCCCGTCCCTCGGGGAGCCCTGTGGGAGCCCTGTGGGAGGTACTCTGGTATTATGGGGTACCAGGCCCTTTGATACGGGCTGTTAGGTCCCTGTACGACCAGGGTCAGAGCCTGGTTCACATTGCTGGCAGTAAGTCGGGATTGTTCCCGGTGAGAGTTGGACTCCGCCAAAGTTGCACTTTGTCACCGATTCTGTTCATAACTTTTATGGACAGAATTTCTAGGCGCAGCCAAGGTGTTGAGGGGATCCGTTTTGGTGGCCTTCGGATCGCTTCTCTGTTTTTTGCAGATGATGTGGTCCTCTTGGCTTCATCAGGTCGTGATCTACAGCTTTCACTGGAGCGGTTTGCAGCCGAGTGTGACGCGGCCGGAGTGAGGATCAGTTCCTCCAAATGGTGAAAAGAGAGCTGAGTCAAAAGGCGACGCTCTCAATTTACCGGTCGATCTAGGTTCCTACCCTCATCTATGGTCATGAGCTTTGGGTTGTGACCGAAAGAACGAGATCACGGATACAGGCGGCCGAAAAGAGTTTTCTCAGCAGGGTGTCTGGGCTCTCCCTACTTAAACTGCTACCTCCGCGACCCGACCCCGGATAAGTGGAAGAAAATGGATGGAACTTGCCATAAAATCAGCTTACTCAAACCGTCTAGTTTATCCGTTTCTTTATTTATCTGTTAGCATAAAGCAGCTAGCCATGTCAATGTTGTCACTAGCAGCTGAAACTAAATAAATGGTAAACAAAACCATACGCAGCTAACCCTTAATTTCTAATTTTTGTGGTAATAAATAAAACACCTGTGTGTCTTTAATTGATTTTAGTCACTTTGTTTACAGTTAAAAAGATCACGGGCGTCCACGTTTCTAACGGTTACCGGTAACCAACGACACACGCGCAAGCTACAAAATACTTCAGAGAGGAGAGCGGCCTGGGACCAGAAACACATCAACTTTGGAGCAGTCGGATTGAACAAAACAGTGTGTCTGCTTTGTATAATTGTAGTTTAGCGAAACGACAGGTCTCCTGGGTGAGTGGAAAATGTATCGACGAGCTCCAAGAGTAACATTTGTGGCAACAAGTGGAACTCCAGCTAAAGTTGGACCCGGATCGTACGGCGTCAGCCCACAGCGGTACAGAGTGACAGGTTGGATAAGTCCGTTAGTGATTTATGATGATTGCAAACTAAGTTCGACTTGTTTTATTTTATTTATCTGCATGTTAAACGTATTACAACGTTATTATAGACTAATACATGACCTTAAAAAAAGACACAATCACCACTATGAGCACCTTTCTTCTTTTGTGTGTGTTTTTGTTGCAGATGGATATGCTCCATTCTTGTCCATGAGCTCCAGGTCATCAGTAGTTAGTGAAACCGCAGATACAGTACCAGGACCTGGATATTACGACCCACGGCCTGTCAGGGTACTAAAGAAACTGCTTAATTTATAAGTATAGTCTGAACACTATTTACTCGAGGGTCACAGAAGGTGATCTGCCTTTTTTTTGTTTGTTTATTTTACAGTAAAGAATTTAGCCAATATATTTTTTCTTTCTTCTTAATGCCAACATGATACATGTTTAGAATTTCATCAGTGAGAATCTGCAATGGACAGTGAGGCAGGAAGTGTTTATATTCAATTCAATTCAATTCAAAAATACTTTATTAATCCCAAAGGGTAATTATTTGTTGTTGTAACTTGTTATCCTCATTTAATTAAGAGATGTTATAGATACTGATGCTGTAGGCAGGAAGAATCTCTTGTAAAGGTCCGTCCCACAGTGGATCCTAAGAAACTGGCTGCAGATGCCGTCCGATCCGTCCACCCAGACTCGGCTGGCCTCTCGGTTCCCCCGGGCCGTAGGATCGCCCGAATGCCGGGCAGAACTCCTCCCAGAGCGATGGCCACTCCTCCCAGCAGTCCGTCGAGCTCCCCATAGCTGCAGGCAGCCAACTGTAGGTGCCGAGGGACGATCCTGTCCTTCCGCTGTCATGAGCCGTGTTTCCTGCTAGTTCCAGGATCTCAGTGGTCAGGCACGCGAGCACAGCTGGCAGGTAGATGAGAATGCGTCCACATAACGTCTTTTTCAACTCATTTGAGAGTTGGGGCCGTAGTTGAGATATTATTTATCTTTTGAGATGTTAATCAGCTGCTGTTGTTGTAGAAAAACCGCCTTGTTGCCATGGTTACGCATCATAACAAATGTCCAAAACCAAAAAAAGTCTCAGTAAAAATCCTTCCAGCTGCACAGCATCTGATACCAGAAGAAACAATCATCCACAAAAAATGTGATTTACATCCAGAAAACCAGGAACTAAAGTTTCCAAAAGCAAAATCTCAGAATGAAAGTAACAGAGCTGCTCCAACATGCAGCCACCTTGAGCGGCACAATTCTAGAACTCATATATATAGTTATATACTCATTATACAGTGCTTATCACAAATCAGCTCCTCTGTTAGCAGACAAACACTCTGACCTCACACTCCTTCACACATGGTTCTATATTAATTTTACATTAGTTGGTGATAAACATCCATTACCTTTACATAAATTCCCCTGACGACATGTGATTTTTGGTCTGTCCTACAATAGAAAATACACCTGGACCCGCCATTCTGTGTTTGTTTCTCCTTTATGTCCTCTCAAATCCCTTGTCCTAGAAGACTAGGACAGTTTTAAATAAAACTTTGAATATAACTTTTTAAGCCGTTTAATAAACTGTACACAGCAAATGTTTTAGGATTGCTCAATTTGTTTAATATTTTTTTTAATGCCAAACTTTCATCTGTTCAGCTCCACGCCCACAGTGGCTGCAGTCTGCAGAGCGCCTGCAAGCGTTTTGAAGAAGAAGTCACATCAGAAGTTCCCGGCCCCGGCGCCTACAATGTGTCGCCGGCCTCAGCATGTACACCCAGGGCTACTGCAGCTAACGCAGGACAGCTCGGCAGAAAAATGGTACGCGCATGGGTGAAAAAATCGTATATTTTTTTGTTACTCCAGATTTATTTTGTGAACTTACTATGTCATTTGTGTATATTATAGTGTAAGGGTTTATTTATTTATAACGTGTAAGTACTTTTGGATGAAACTCTTCTAATGGCTGTCTGAGGCTTATAAAGCTTGTGAGCTTCTAAGACAGCACGCTGCAGCGATGCAAGCAGCCGACAGAGGGCAGGTGAGTCAAAATCATGTTACACTTCCTTCACTGGACAGGAACAAACTTGGTCTTCATTGTCACTGATCCCTGTGTGTGTTCATACGTGTTAAACTTACGCTTATGTGAGCGACTTTCCACAAAAGCTATTTTGTTTTCGTGTGTTCTGGCATTCATTGGACCATTTATTTGGTTGTTTTTGACCAAACACATTAAAGCTGCATCAGGTGATGAATATCCTGCAGGCTGTTTATTTCCTTCTCTTTATTAGGAGCTAACAAAGATATGGGCACACATTGCAATCATATACCGACTGATTATCAACTGATTATCAACTATATATATATGGACAATGATTCTGTTTTTGTTCTTACTAAACCATAAAGTAATGCCTACCTGAGATTCAGAATTGCTGGTGCCGTCCTCCATCTTCAAAACGACCTACTCTCAGAGGACTGCACCACCCTGACAGCTAAACCATCTGTTCTCCCGACTGGATTGTTACATTTCTGATTGACATGACATTGATCAATCAGCTGAGAGGATAATACATCCTGACAGAATTTGTACTTACAAGTAGAAACTCACACACAAGTTAGGGAACTTGAACACAGTTTCACACATAGTTTTTTACTTTGTATCTGTAAACAGACCTTAACCAAAAAAATAAATAAATAAAAGTAACTTGTGTATCTGTTTTTTACAAATACTGTTTTTGCACACACATAAATTCTTATATATGGATGCACAACGATATCATTCTCAGACATTCTGATTTACAAACATACACGTATATATGACTGGAATTTGTGCCCCTTAAAGGAACAGCCATGTGACCGTCCTGTGCTGCAGACAAAAAAGGTGATAATTAATCTTAAACATTTTTTTACACATGTGCTGCACTTGCGTCTTCTATAAATACACAAGTTGAGTAGTTTCAGGTGTAGTAAAAGCCACGCCTGTAGTAAAATGTAAAAAGCTGCAAGTGTGATAATACACTTTCACACATTTGATAAAGTGAGGATCTGCGCTTTAGAATCACCAGCTGTGGGAGTTTAGTCTAAACAACAATAAACAAACTTGTTACCAAAAAGAAAATTGATAATGATGACACACAGAAACTTTGCATTTAATTAGGGAAAAAAACAGTTGTACCTTAAAGACAGTTGCTAAACTGAGTTAATTTTTGTTGTGTTTTGAAATGAAAACGAGGGAGATGCGTGTTGTCCACAGCACAGGTCTGCTCCACGCCTGTCTCGGTTCTGACGTGCTCGTTTTATTCCTGGAAGCTCACGTCTGTGTGAGTTGTGGTCGCATTGATTCATGAACTGTCGGAGGAAAAATAAAGATGTGTTGGTCTTTGTGGACATTTTGCAGAATAGTTTTGTGAAAAGCCTTATGTGTATAAATAGCAACAAATCTTCTACAAATAGTCACCACAATTAGGCAATTCTTGATATTGCATTCATTCAAGATAATGTTTTTCATATTAATATCAAAACATAATCAATCATCACTAAGTTTCATCAACCATTGTCAGTGTGCTGCAGAGGAAACGGCCATTTTTAAATTTTGATTACATCATCTTGTTTTCTTGGATGACCTTAAAAGGGAGTGTGCTGCTCCTTGTGGCTGTTAGTGGTACTGCACCTCAAGACTCATTGGCTTCACTTTAGCAACCTAGTGGCCTTTTTTCATATTAAACTAAAACAATAAGTGGATTTTTTTTCTTATTTTGTTAAATAATTAAATAACACTTGGGCCCACATTTCTATCTGTACAAAGTTAGTTTCTTTGTATTTTTACTGAGATCTTGTTGATGTTCTCTTAGTAAATATAACTCCAGTTGCACTTTGCGTCTGTTTTCTTCTCGTCTAGTTTGTTTTTATATTTTCTACTTCTCTCAGTTCTTCTCTATCCCCCTCTGTGCCTCCTTAGTCTCAAACTATTCTGGCCTTAGGCACTGCGCAGCTCCTTTTTAAGCCAGGGCATTTCTTTCCATTAGTAACCCAGACTTTTTAACTCACTCTCCCTGCTTTCCTCCTGCCTTTTTTCCCTCTGGCTGCAGGGTAAAAGTCTCCAGCTAGTTCGTCAGCCATACCTGTATATCCCATCCATTCCTTCCCCGGGCCAGGCCTTGGGCTACGAGGAGGATGCCCAGGGTGTGCTCTGCAAGCAGGAGCCCCCTCTCAGGGACACAACCCTGGGGCCAGCTTACTACAATCCAGCAGTGGTAAGGGCAGATTCACATGCATGCACAATCCTGTTAAAGTTCGAACCTTCATCCATCAGTGTGTGAAACACTTATTTATGCCCACTTGTGCTTTCATTTATCTGTAAGAGTGTGTGTCTGAGTGTGCTTACTCTGCCACGAGGCGAGGCGAGGGTCCATTAGTGTTAGGGAGATCTAATGCACCACCGAACCTCCACATCACCTCATTCACTTGGCCTCAAACCCATTTCCATAGCTATCGAATGCAGCTCCACTTAAAAAAAAGAAGCTGCAGTACACCCGTGTTCATCTATTTTACATGCCAACAAAGAGCCATTAGTAATTATTCTTCAAGCTTTATTACAATATTCACTTAAAATAATGCACACGCCTGCTAGTCTGGCTCTCAATTAAGTGATTTTTCATCTGTTAATGACCGGAGGAAGTCAACAGCGTCCTTGAGTGTTGGCCGAGGTTGTATCAGCACACCAGCGAGGGCACAAAGGCGTGCAGAGATTTTGGACAATCAGCGGTGCATCCATCCACGGCTCGCTCTCTTTCTTTCACTTTTTATCTGAACTTCTGTTGCTCTCCCTTTGAAAGCTCAACCTTTGCTTCCATCTGTCTCCTTCCCTTTGTTCATTCGTCTGACACGCTCTTTTTCTTTTAAACTCAACACCCCCCCCCCCATCCCATGCTCTGACCGAGTTCAAAAGTGTGGAGAGGCGGATTTAAGTGGTTGTCTGAGGAAGTATCTTCAAAGTAGCCGAGACAACCTTTGAATGATAAGACATTAAACTGGAATCAGGACGTAAGTTTTTCTGTCTGGTTGTTACTGAGCAACACACAAACATTTGAATCTTTTTAGCTGCTGACTTTAAACATATAGTTGAGGGTAGGCCTGGTGCAATAAACAATAAATCAATAAATCGCATGATAAATGAAAATTATCGACCTTGTTTTCATTTATTGGCTTTATCATTTCTTCGTGTCTCTCTCTTTCTACTGAAGACACTGGATGACAAAAAGGTTCAACTCCGGTGCTCTTCACTGACCCCGCACTTTCTCGTTTTTCTTTAAAATCTATTTTAACTGTCCAAAATCGAGTTTTTGGATTGTTAAAAGCAGCTAAGCCGAGAAGCTAAGCTACGAGCTAAGCTAACAGGCCGACCTCGGGGAGCAAACCTCTGTCTTGTCGAAGCTCCATAATTCACGGTTGAAACCCGTGCCTTTGTCTAAAAAGTTGTTTTACTCTGCAAAAAGAAGCTGAGAACTTGTCTACTGATTTTTTTAAATTAAAAGTTTTGTGTGACAAATGCTATGCTAAAGAGCTCAAACCACACCGAGCGTCCATCATTTTGAGAACCGAAAAACAGGAAAGAGAGACAGTCCATGCCACGTCAAGGGGCCTCCCTCCCATTTTTTTAAGAGACACGCTGCTCGCTCCCTCACTATCCATCCTTCAGTTCAAACTGTCTTATACTGCCATCCAGTGGTCAAAAAAACATACTACACACAAAACAAATTACCAACATTTCTTCTTAAATTTGACAATAATTACTAATTATTGTCAAATTTCAAACAATATTATTGTTTATTGCAATAATTTCTGAGACATTTAATCGCCCAGTAATACTTGTTATCATGACAGGCCTAGTTGAGGGCTGCATTAATAAAATAATTACATTTCAATAATAATAATAACTGATACTCACATTGTAGTGAACAGGCTTAAAGCTATAGCTCAGATCTTTTGATGGCTCTCTGTGGAATGTTTATGAACAATAAAATTTGTCTGATAGCTCTTTGGATGAGCTTAATTTGGAGAAATGGGGACTAATTCTGACCAGATTAACGAGCTAATGGCTAGTCCTTGCTAGGTTAAGAATTAAGTGAATTGTTGACATCATAAAAAAAAACTCAATTTCAAAAAATCTTTTAAGTGATTTGTGCAAACACCATTTCACAAACCTTTAGATTTTTGTCAACCTACAAACTGTACCCTGGACATCATTCCCTCTAAGATGTTCAAGCAGTCCTTGGATGTTATTGGTCCTTGTCTTCTGACATTTATTAATAGCTGTCCAAGTTCAGGTTATGTCCCGTCTATTTTCAAGCATGCTGTGGTCAGGTCTCTTCTTAAAAAAATGAGTTTAGATTGTACAGCTTTTTCTAATTTTAGGTCAATTTCACACTTATCGTTTTTATCCAAAGTGCTGGAAAAGGTTGTTTTCATTCAGTTGCAATCTTTTTTAGAACACAACTTGTTTGAAAAATTTCAATCCGGCTTCAGACACTGTCATAGCACTGAATCTGCACTACTCAAAGTATAGAATGATATTCTTTTGTCCCTTGATGGCAAAAAACCTGTTCTGCTGGTGATGTTGGACCTCTCAGCAGCTTTTGATACTGTAGACCATCAGGTCCTAATCACTCGTTTGGCTCAGGAAGTTGGCCTTCAGGGTGTTGTGCTCGAGTGGTTTAAGTCTTATTTAACAGACAGAACTTTCTCTGTTATGGTAGGTGATCTGTCCTCTTCTTCAATCTCTTTGACCTCTGGCGTACCGCAGGGATCCATTCTGGGGCATGTTCTCTTCTCATTTTACATGCTACCGTTAGGACCCATCATTGCACGCTATAATCTGTCTTTTCATCTGTATGCAGATGATCTACAAATCTATCTGCCGGTCACTCCCAGTTCCTCACTCAGTTTAAACTCTACTGCCAGCTGCTTAAACGACATAAAGCACTGTCTGTCTCAGAATTTTCTCCACCTAAATAACGATAAAACTGAATAGATTTTATTTGGTGCTTCCAGTAATTCATGCAACATCTCTCCCAGTATAGGTTTTACGCTCCCCCACTCCAACAAGGTGGTAAAAAATCTAGGAGTGGAGCTTGACTGTAACTTGAAGTTAGATAAACAGATCAGTTTTGTTGTGAAAACCAACTTCTTTCAGCTCCATCTGCTTTCCAAAGTAAAGTCACTCCTTAGCCGTAGTGATCTGGAGAAGGCCATCCATGCCTTTGTGAGCTCTAGGCTTGATTACTGTAACGCCTTATATATCGGTATTAATCAATCTTCTATCTCCCGTTTACAACTTGTACAAAACTCTGCTGCTCGCCTGTTGACTAACACATGTAAATATGAACACATCACTCCTGTCCTTTCTTCTTTGCACTGGCTCCCAGTTCAGTTTAGGACTCAGTTCAAGCTGCTGCTGTTTGTTTTTAAAGCTTTGAATGGCCTTGCACCACCTTATATTTCAGAACTTTTAAAAGTCCACCAGCCCAGCAGAGCTTTACGGTCTGCTGGTCATTATCTGCTGGAGGTGCCTTGCTCAAGGTGCAAACATTGGGGGCACCGGTCCTTTTCTGTTGCAGGCCCAACAGCCTGGAATACTCTTCCCTATGAGCTGCGTGCCATCTCTGATCTGGTTCTGATCAAAGCCAAACTGAAAACATACTTATTTAAAAGAGCTTTTAATGTTTAACTTTTAGTATTTTAGTATTTATTTATTTATTTATTTTATATCTTTTACCTTCTTTTATTCTGGCTGTGTTTTTAATTTGCACTGATTTATTGTGTCCTGTTTTTATTTTGTTTTATCTTGTAAATCACCTTGGTCAATGCAAGGCGTTGTTGGAAGGTGCTATAGAAATAAAGTTTATTATTATTATTATTAAGTTTGTGTTACAGTTATTTATAAATAATTTTGTTGTTATTTGCAAGCCTAAATTGCAGCAGTAGCAGCTAGCGCTAACACTCTTGATACAGTCTGCACTTCTAGCATAAAGTCAGAATATTTCTGCTGGAATAATCAAATAATTGTAATAATGTAATAAAACTGACGACAATGTGTAGACTTGTAAAACACTTGGCCTCGTTCAGACGACTGTTAGCTCATCAGTCTGGTCAGAACTAAACTCCAGTTTTCCAAAGTGAGGCAGTTCAAAGAGCTGCAACAGGTAAGATATTAATTGTTCATAACCTTTTTACAAACCCCCACTTCAAAAGATCTAAAATTTCCATTAATGACCAGTTAACACAGATATTCAAATACACGTACGCAGTGTGGGTGATAAACTGGAAGTCTTAGCAGAATAAAATGTTTATTTTCCGACACGCTGGCTGTGTTTTTGTTTCACTTGTGAAACCTCTTCCTTTAATAAACAGGGCTTTTCTGCCTTTTAGCTTGGTGCAGTCTCTGGCACCATTACACCATGTGTGTCTGCTTGTGATGTTGAACTGTTATGATTCTCTTTAAACTTTAAAACTTCTCAACATCGTCGACTCCTTCCCCCCCTTAAATGTCAATTTGAAGCTTACAGAGAACAAAAACCTGGAGTCAAGGAAGAGACAGATGCCATGTGGGTTGAGAAACATTTCAAGGTGTTTTGCTAACCCTCTACTACCTTCCTCATACAAAATGCCCAGATGGGTCAAGGAAGAGAGACTGAAGACTTTCTTCTCAGCTTGTTTCATCCTACCTAACATGTCAGTCACAAGAACTGCTGTTGACTCATCTTGTTTTTCTACGTCTAAATTTGATCATTTCAGGACATTTCTGCATTCGTTCCATAGCTGCAGTTGAGATAAAGACATAAAATTCAGTCAGAGAGAGGATGGCATACCACCAGCTGATGTCTGGCCACTATAGCTGAGAGAGATTCTCATATGTGCTATCTCTTAAGATGTGTTTGGTGACAGCTGGCCAGCTCATTTCCAGAGTAGCTTCTTTTAGTTGTTAGGCTTGAAATGGACTGTTCCTATCTTAGAGGCTGGAGGCAGAGGAACCAGGCTGTAAAACTCAGAGATATACCAGCACAGAGGGTCTCGGCTAGATCTCTGATATGCTGTGGCATTTGGCTGAACTTCACATTTCATTTAGCCCCAGCTTCTTGAGCTGAACTAGAAAGAACAAAGAAAAACAGATAAGTGTGAATGAGTTGCTTCTCTTCTCTGATTCTTTGATCATTCAATTATCTTCTTGTTCTCTTCTCTTTTCCATCTGCAGACAGAGAGGATTTTCTCGAACTATAAAGGGGTTCAGTTCGGCAACAAAACAGGAAGAACTGATGTGAGAGCAGAGACAGGACCAGGTCCAGGACATTATTTCCCTGAGATGTGAGTATAATGAGCAATTTGTGTCATTTATGCTTTTAAGGTTGGTTCCATTTAAACTTTTTGAAGTTACTTGTATTGCAGAATTTCACTTCAAAGGGAGAGTTCTGATCCTTTGTGGTCAGGTTCTGAGGGAAGACCATGAACAAGTAATATCTTACCTGTTGTAGATAGCTCTTTGAATGACCTCAGTTTGAAGAAATAGAGTACAGTTGTTTCTGCACTAATGAGCTTACAGCTACTCTTACTGCCATTTTCAAACAACTCCGTTCTTAAATATTTGAGAATAGTTCAAAGGGTGTTGTACAAATTATTCCGTACTATTCTGGCAAAAGTATGATGATATTCCTGCAAGAAGTGTCCCACACTGTACACAAATTGCTACAGATGCTGTGGCTGTTTGTGCTATCAAATAACCATAGGATTTGAGGCAAATACTTCCTGCTTCAGAAGGCGTGAACTATCCCTTTAATTCTGAAAATATATACAGTTCAATGTACTTTATTTGCTCTTATATATAAATGCAGGAAGGGTTAACAGCTATTTTTAGTATTTTGCTAAACAAATATCTATCATTATAATTCTTAAATTCAGATGTTTAGCTAATTAAAACATTTGTACTCAGATTAAAATAACCCCAACTTGCTTTATTTACAAAGAAGATAAGAAAATAAATGCTCCAGGGCGTCGTGTCTCAGATGTTCATTGCTTTAGCTGTTTGCTGCACAGAGAAGCTGTTAGCTGCTACGACCACGCCGTGATGTGACATTTTTCACATATAGGTAGTTGTGTGAGGTCATGGTTATGATTGATGGGGCTTTCTGCGCACGAGCGTGTGTAGTTGGGCACACATTCAGTTCCAATGTTCATAAAATTATAGACCTGTTGTGTATTTGTGCACATTGTCACTTTTTACAGCAGCAGATAAAAGTTGGGTCACCTGACCACTCAGAAGTTCTTTTCTTTTAAATGAATAAAAGAGCAAAAGGTGACCTGATTTCCTGAGAAGAAACAAAGATAAGATCACAGTTTGGCTTCTGTCTTTTATACTTTAAAACTTTTATGAAAAAGAGAGAAAAGGTCCAAAGTCATTGTTTTTTTAACCAGAGTTTAGTTATGCCACTTTGACAAATATCACAGCTTTTAAAAGCCTTTTTGTTGCAGCTCAGAGTATTTCGTTTCTTGTTTTGGAGGTTGTTTGTCCATTTCTCCTGCAAAAAACTTTTTTTTTTTAATTCTTTAAAGCATTGCTCTTTTAAAGTCCTCCCACGAAGGTTGTGGTCAAGAAACTTTCATGGCTGTGACAAAAATCTTCAACTTGGACATTTTAAATTTTTGTTGGGTGTTTTCAGGAAGTCATTCTCCTTTCATATATCTTTTAACTAACTGGTTTACGTTTATTTCCAGGATTATGTGATAATTAAATGGGGTTTTTGCTCATGTTTAGAAGGTACACATTGATTCACTCTTATGTCTGTGTAGTAAAATGTTCTTTGTGTTGCAGGACAGTTTTGTACAGAACTCAGACTGAGTGTTAGCTTCTCGGAGCAAACAGTTTTTCACTGAAGAGGTGTGATGCTGCTGTTCTGAGCCGTCCATATGTGCAAGTCTGAGCATGAGAATGATTTATAACTGGGTTAAAATGAAGCTGCTGGTATAGTTGTTTTATTAATCAAGATGGACTGATTCTCTTTTGTCAAGTTTAATCCTTCTTTTCTCTGGTCCTCTGCTCCCATTTGTCATTTTTTGTTTGTTTGTTCAGTCTCATTTTTTATTACACATCTCTTGTTCCAAATATCTTCTCTCTTCTAGTCCCACATTCTTCTGCTCCAGTTATTTAGGTTTTGAAATTCTTTTATTTCTTTTGCTTTGATTTTATTTGGTTGCTTTGTGTCTTAGATTTTTTTTACTTCTTTTTTCTGCCACAGAGTCCCAGAATTGCACTGTGAGGATGTGAATGTTCAAAAGAAGCCCAAAGGCAGAGCCGAGCTTATCATCCCTCGGTACCACGAACTGTTGGCCCAGCAGGAGGCGAAGAAGGTGAGTATGAGCAAAAATAATAATAATCTTGGTGAGCTGTGGCTGCAATAAGTGGTAACTAAATAACTTAAGTAAGATTAACAGTATTAACAGTCAGCCAGAGCACCTATTTGTGATTAGCCTGTCACATTAATAATTTATTGATCTTGTTTAGGATTAACTAATAATGTATTGCCAAAGATTTACATTTTTTTGTGTCTAATTACAAAAGTAGTAAGTACCCTCTACTTATTGGGTGGGCGATATGGCTCAAATATAATATCATGATATTTCAGCGCATTCTGACGATAATGATACATTTTGTGATATAACAACAATACCCCCCCCAGAGATCATAGTTATTCATTTGACAAAATTAACTTAACATGTTGCT